CCCCAAAAAACCCCCAAAAAAACCTCAAAAAAACCCTCAAAAAACCCCAAAAATCCTCAAAAATCCCCCAAAAAACAACAAAAAAAACCCTCAAAAAACCCCAAAAAACCCCAAAAAACCCCCAAAAAACCCCCAAAGCAGCAGCCGAGCCGATCCCGGCCCAATTGGAATCGATTTTTATACCTTCAGCAATATTTGAGTTCGTTTGATTTCGTTTTATTTCGTTTTATTTCGATTTAATTTCATTTTATTCCATTTTATTCTCATTTTATTTCGATTTATTCTCATTTTATTTCATTTTATTCTCATTTTATTTCGATTTATTCTCATTTTATTCTCATTTTATTCTCATTTTATTTCAATTTAATTTCATTTTATTTCATTTTATTCTCATTTTTATTTCATTTTTATTTCATTTTATTCTCATTTTATTTCATTTTATTTCATTTTATTTCAATTTTATTTCATTTTAATTTCATTTAATTTCATTTTAATTTCATTTTATTTCATTTTATTTCATTTTATTGTTGTGATCCCCAATTAATGAGATCCCCAATTAATGAGATCCCCAATTATTGAGATTCCCAATTAATTAGATCCCCAATTAATGAGATCCCCAATTAATGAGATTGACAATCATTGAGATCCCCAATTAATTAGATTGACAATTAATGAGATCCCTAATTAATGAGATCCCCAATTATTGAGATTCCCAATTATTGAGATCTCAATTATTGATATTAATAATTAATGAGATCCCCAATTAATGAGATCCCCAATTAATGAGATTCCCAATTATTGAGATCTCAATTATTGAGATCCCCAATTAATGAGATCCCCAATTAATGAGTTCCCTAATTAATGAGATCCCCAATTATTGAGATCCCCAATTATTTCAATCTGGAATTATTGATATTCGCAATTAATGAGATCCCCAATTAATGAGATCTCAATTATTGAAATTAATAATTATTGAGATCCCCAATTATTGGGATTCCCAATTAATGAGATCGGCAATTATTGATATTCCCAATTAATGACAACCCCAATTAATGAGGTCCCCAATTAATGAGATTCCCAATTATTGATATTAATAATTAATGACAACCCCAATTAATGAGGTCCCCAATTAATGAGATCCCCAATTAATGAGATCTCAATTATTGATATTAATAATTAGTGAGATCCCCAATTAATGAGATCCCCAATTAATGAGATCCCCAATTATTTCATTCTCACGTCCTTTAAAATCCACAATTAATTAATTCAATTAATCTGTAATTAATTCAACCCGCGATTAATTCAATTAATCGGCAATTAATTCAATCCGGAATATTTGGGAATATTTAAAATATTAAAAATATTAAAAATATTAAAAATATTAAAAATATTTCTAATATTTCTAATTTTTATACTATTTAGAATCTTAATTTTAATTTTAATTTTAATTTGAGTTTTATTTTTATTTTTATTTTTAATTTTAATTTTAATTTTAACTTTAGTTTTAATTTCACTTTTTAATTTTAATTTCAATTTCAATTTCAATTTTAATTTTAATTTTCATTTTCATTTCAATTCGAATTTCAATCCTAATTCCAATGCTAATTAAAATTTCAATTCCAATTTTAATTCCAATTTTTAATTCCAATTTTCCAACCCTAATTAATTTTTAATTAATTTGTCATTAATTAAATTTCCCAGGTAAAACCGAGCGCGGCTCCTTCTCCTCCTACGGGCGCGACTCCAACCTCCAGGGCTGTCACCAGGTGAGCGAAAATTCCAAATTTTTTCCCAAATTTTCCCAAATTTTTCCCAAATTTTTCCACTCCAGGATCATCAAAAATAAAAAAAAAATTCAATTTTTGTCACCGCGGGGTTTTGTGGGCGAAAATTTGGATTTTTGGGGTGAAAAATTCGGATTTTTTGGGGTTGAAAATTGAATTTTTTGGCTTTTTTAGGGTTGAAATTTCGATATTTTTGGGTAAAAATTTGGATTTTTTGGGGGTTTTTTAGGGTTGAAATTTGGATTTTTGGGGGTAAAAATTTGGATTTTTTTGGGTTGAAATTCGGATTTTTTGGGGTTGAAATTTGAATTTTTGGGGGTTTTTTTTGGGTTGAAATTTGGATTTTTTGGGTTGAAATTTGGATTTTTTTGGATTTTTTGGGGGGTTGAAATTTGGATTTTTTGGGGTTTTTTTGGGTTGAAATTTGGATTTTTTGGGGCGTTGAAATTCGGATTTTTTTGGGTTGAAATTTCGATTTTTTTGGGTAAAAATTTGAAATTTTGGGGGATTTTTTTGGGTTGAAATTTGGATTTTTTTGGTTGAAATTTGGATTTTTTTGGGTTTTTTTAGGGTTGAAATTTGGATTTTTTGGGGTAAAAATTCGGATTTTTTTGGGTTGAAATTTGGATTTTTTGGGGGGTTAAAATTCGGATTTTTTTGGGTTAAAAATTGAATTTTTGGGGGGTTTTTGGGTTGAAATTTGGAATTTTTTGGGTAAAAATTTGGATTTTTTGGGGGTGAAATTTGAATTTTTTTGGGTTGAAATTTGATTTTTTTTTTGTTTTTTTCGGTTGAAATTTGGATTTTTTGGGGTTAAAATTTGGATTTTTTGGGGTTTTTTTTGGGTTGAAATTTGAATTTTTTGGGTCTTTTTAGGGCTGAAATTTGGATTTTTGGGGGTTAAAATTTGGATTTTTTTGGGTTTTTTTGGGATGAAATTTGGATTTTTTGGGGTTGAAATTTGGATTTTTGGGGGTTGAAATTTGGATTTTTTTGGGTAAAAATTTGGATTTTTTGGGGTTGAAAATTGAATTTTTTGGGTTTTTTTAGGTTGAAATTTGGATTTTTTGGGGGGTTTTTTTGGGTTGAAATTTGGATTTTTTTGGGGTTTTTAGGGTTGAAATTTGGATTTTTTGGGGTTGAAATTTGGATTTTTTTGGGTGAAAATTTGGATTTTTTGGGTTAAAATTTGGATTTTTTGGGGTTGAAAATTGAATTTTTGGGGTTTTTTTTGGGTTGAAATTTGGATTTTTTGGGGGTTGAAATTTGGATTTTTTTGGGAAAAAAATTGGATTTTTTGGGGTTAAAAATCGGATTTTTTGGGTTGAAATTTGGATTTTTTTGGGTTTTTTTAGGGTTGAAATTTGGATTTTTTGGGGTTAAAATTTGGATTTTTTGGGTTGAAATTTGGATTTTTTGGGAAAAAATTTGGATTTTTTTTGGTTGAAATTCGGATTTTTTGGGGTTGAAATTTGGATTTTTTGGGGTTTTTTAGGGTTGAAATTTGGATTTTTTTGGGTAAAAATTTGGATTTTTTGGGGTTGAAATTTGGATTTTTTGGGGTTAAAATTTGGATTTTTTGGGGGTTGAAATTTGGATTTTTTGGGTAAAAATTTGGATTTTTTGGGGTTGAAATTTGGATTTTTTGGGTTGAAATTTGGATTTTTTTGGTTTTTTTAGGGTTGAAATTCGGATTTTTTGGGGTTTTTAAGAGAAAATACAAAAATGAAATGAAAGAAAAAACTGAAATAAAGTAAAAGGAAATAAAATGAAATAAAAATGAAATAAAAATAAAATAAAAATAAAATAAAAATAAAAATAAAATGAAATTATGAAATAAAATAAAATAAAATAAAAATCAAATCAAATCAAATCAAATAAAATAAAATAAAATAAAATAAATAGAAAACAAAATAAAAATAAAATAAAATAAAATAAAATAAAATAAAATTAAATTAAATTAAATTAAAAATTAAAAAATTCCCAAATCTCAGGAATTTCATCGAGCTCTGAGCTGGGCAAGGAAAAAAAAAATTAAAAAAAAATTTTCAATAAAAATCAGGGAATTTATTGGGAATTTATTGAGAATTTATTAGGAATTTATTGGGAATTAATTGATAATTAATTGATAATTTATTGAGAATTTATTAAGAATTTATTGGGAATTTATTCAGAATTTATTGAGAATTTATTGGGAATTTATTAAGAATTTATTAAGAATTTATTGGGAATTTATTAAGAATTTATTAGAAATTGATTAGAAATTTTTTAGTAATTAATTACAAAATTTATCACGAATTAATTAGGAATTTTTAATTAATTTTTTTTTAAATCCCAAAAATTTTAATTAAAATTTTTTTTCCCTCCATCATTAAAAAAATTTTAATTCCCCCAAATAAAAAAATTTCCAAAAATTAAATTTTTTTAAATTATTTTTTTAATTAATTTTTTAATTAATTTTTTAATTAATTTTTTTTTTATTTTTTAATTTTTTTTTTTATTATTTCAAAATTTTTTTTTTTTTTTTTTAGAAAATTCCAGAATTTTTTCTGGGGGCCAAGGCCGGGCTGAGGAGGCCGCGTGGGGTAGNTTGATATTAATAATTAATGAGATCCCCAATTATTGAGATCCCCAATTAATGAGATCTCAATTATTGATATTAATAATTAATGAGATCCCCAATTACTGAGATCCCCAATTAATGAGATCCCCAATTATTTCATTCTCACGTCCTTTAAAATCCACAATTAATTAATTCAATTAATCTGTAATTAATTCAACCCGCGATTAATTCAATTAATCGGCAATTAATTCAACCCGCAATTAATTCAATCGGGAATATTTGGGAATATTTCAAATATTAAAAAATATTAAAAATATTAAAAATATTTAAAATATTTAAAATATTAAAAATATTAAAAATATTGAAAATCTTTCTAATATTTCTAATTTTTATAATATTTAGAATCTTAATTTTATTTTTAATTTTCGTTTTAATTTCACTTTTTAATTTTAATTTCAATTTCAATTTTAATTTTCATTTTCATTTCAATTCGAATTTCAATCCTAATTTCAATTCTAATTAAAATTCTAATTCCAATTTTAATTCCGATTTTAATTCCAATTTTCCAACCCTAATTAATTTTTAATTAATTTGTCATTAATTAAATTTCCCAGGTAAAACCGAGCGCGGCTCCTTCTCCTCCTACGGGCGCGACTCCAACCTCCAGGGCTGTCACCAGGTGAGCGAAAATTCCAAATTTTTCCCAAATTTTCCCAAATTTTTCCCAAATTTTTCCCAAATTTTTCCACTCCAGGATCATCAAAAATAAAAAAAAAATTCAATTTTTGTCACCGCGGGGTTTTGTGGGCGAAAATTTGGATTTTTGGGGTGAAAAATTCGGATTTTTGGGGTTAAAAATTGAATTTTTGGGGGTTAAACTTTGGATTTTTTTGGGTTGAAATTTGGATTTTTTGGGTGAAAATTTGGATTTTTTGGGGGTTAAAATTTGGATTTTTTGGGTTAAAATTTCGATTTTTTTGGTTTAAAATTTGAATTTTTTGGTTTTTTAAGGGATGAAATTTGAAATTTTTTTGGAGTTAAAATTCGGATTTTTGGGGGTTAAAATTTGGATTTTTTGGGGGTTTTTTTGGGGTTGAAATTTGAATTTTTTGGGGTTTTTTTAGGGTTAAAATTTGGATTTTTTGGGGTTAAAAATTGAATTTTTTGGGGTTGAAATTTGAATTTTTTTGGGTTAAAATTTGGATTTTTTTGGGATGAAATTTGGAATTTTTTTGGGTCAAAATTTGGATTTTTTGGAGTTTTTTTGGGTTGAAATTTGGATTTTTTTGGCTGAAAATTTGGATTTTTTTGGTTGAAATTTGGATTTCTTTGGGTTTTTTTGGGATGAAATTTGGATTTTTTGGGGTTAAAATATGGATTTTTTTGGGTGAAAATTTGGATTTTGGGGGGTTAAAATTTGGATTTTTTGGGTTGAAAATTGAATTTTTTGGGGTTTTTTTGGGTTGAAATTTGGATTTTTTTGGGTAAAAATTTGGATTTTTTTGGGTTTTTTGGGGTTGAAATTTGGATTTTTTGGGTTGAAATTTGGATTTTTTTGGGTTTTTTTAGGGTTGAAATTTGGATTTTTTTGGGGTTGAAATTTGGATTTTTTTGGGTGAAAATTTGGATTTTTTGGGTTAAAATTTGGATTTTTTGGGGTTGTAAATTGAATTTTTTGGGGTTTTTTAGGGTTAAGATTTGGATTTTTTGGGGGTTGAAATTTGGATTTTTTGGGTAAAAATTTGGATTTTTTGGGGTTAAAATTTGAATTTTTTGGGTTAAAATTTGGATTTTTTTTGGTTTGTTGGGGTTGAAATTTGGATTTTTTGGGGTTAAAAATTGAATTTTTTGGGGTTTTTTTTGGGATGAAATTTGGATTTTTTGGGGTTGAAATTTGGATTTTTTGGGGTTTTTTTGGGTTAAAATTTCGATTTTTTTGGTTTAAAATTTGAATTTTTTGGTTTTTTTAGGGATGAAATTTGGAATTTTTTGGGGGTAAAAATTCGGATTTTTTGGGGTTAAAAATTGAATTTTTTGGGGGTTAAAAATTGAATTTTTTGGGTTTTTTTAGGGTTGAAATTTGGATTTTTTTTTGGGTTAAAATTTGGATTTTTTGGGGTTTTTTGGGGTTGAAATTTGGATTTTTGGGGCGAAAATTTGGATTTTTTGGGGTTAAAAATTGAATTTTTGGGGTTTTTTTGGGTTGAAATTTGGATTTTTTTGGGTTTTTTTGGGTTGAAATTTGGATTTTTTGGG